AAAATTTATCACGAGGAACCTACCAAACTATTTAAAAATCGGACTCTCAATTCTATATATATATATATATTATCCAATGGTTTTGATATCGTCACGTTACGGATTACTGATTAACGATAAATCACCCTCGAACCACTCCAAAATACTCAAATTGCAATCTCTATTCATCAACATTCTCTCGACGAACAAGTACTCTGTGTTTTTTTTTTTCTTTTGATCGGTAAAAATAAATTTACAGATCAAAACTGATGCTCGAACGACAAACAGACGCCTACAAAAAGAATCATATCACGACACTAATTAATTAATGTGAATTATTCTTTGTCAGTGTCTATAAGGATTTTCTAACGTGGGTTGTGCATGTAATTAAAATTAAAGACCAAAAAATAATTATGACAATTTGGTCTCTTACATTTATGATATTGCCCTTTGGTCCAAACTCTCCCCAGTTGCTTTAAATAGAAAACCTTGAATTTTGGCACTTTATTCAACAGCCAAAAATGGAAAAATTCAGGAATATTTGCAGTGGTTGTTATACGTCAACAGCAATGTGTTGCATCATATTATTATTTTATTTTATTTTATTTTTTTTTTCTCTTTTTTTGGCCTGTCACAATGTAAGACAAATTAATCAATTTTTGTTGAAAATCAAAGCTATATATAATAAAAATAAATGCCAATTAGTCCTCATCAAATATGAAACTATTTGCAGATTTTTTTTTATTTTATTTTTTTTAATGTAATGTTATCATGGGATGCATTAAGTGTAGGAGAGAGGGATGGAACACCTAATATCGTCTGAATGTATATGTGCAATATTTGAATTTTTTAATTTCATGTGTCACTTTCTTATATTTAATTTCTACATTTTAAGGTATATAATGTTCATGTTTGTCACGGATTTAATTAGCTGATAATTAATTAATTAATTAACTGCTTTGATGATCAGTTGATATTAGTTGGTAAATAATTAGCTCTTTGATAGACAAAAATAACTATTTTGCACGGTTTTGCTATGAAACCAACAGTTGGCTCTATAGCGGAGCCAACCTACTATATATAGCTAACAATTAAGTCCTGAAATTTGTCAAGTCTCTTATATATAGCTAACAATTAGAAGTCCTGAAATTTGTCAAGTCTCTTATATATAGCTAACAATTAGAAGTCCTGTAAAATTGTAAAATGTATGAGTAGTATTGAAAAATCGTAAAAGTTGATGTAAAAAGAGATCATATTATTGGAATATTCTTTTGGATTTGAGAATGCGATTTTCGGTTGGAGATGAATTACTGTTTGATGTGACAGTTACTCCGAAATGAGTTGAGTTTGATAATGATTTTCTCGGTTGGAGATGGTCTAATAATATACATCATGCACAATTATAGCACATGTAAATTACACAATACATATGAGTATTAATTTACACATATATACAACACAAACTCACTGCACTCAAACAACCTTAAAAGGAAAAGACTTGTGAACTCTGCATTACATGCAATTTTTCTCACACACACACACACACACACACACACACTACCAAACCCTAAATACCAACAAAAGGGCAAAATAAGAAGAACAAGAACAAGGTAAACCTTTTTTTTTTTTTTTTTCCCTACTAATTTGTTCATTTTCTGGTCTTAAAGCTTCACACAGATTATAGCAGTAAGTTTTTCTTCTCAGCTTCCATTTACCATAAATCATCAAATTTTCCCAATTATGATATTAATTCTTGTTTTAGTACTTCTGTTTGTATTTCAAGATCTGAATAAGCATAATTTGTTCTGTCTGATTCTTGATGATTTTTTTATTTTTTTTTTTATTATTTTTTTTATTTTCACATTTATTTTGTCCTAACCTAAATCAAGAAAATTTAACCTCACAGAGAAGGGCTAATTCCTTCTTTTTTTTCTTTTTCTTTTTTTTTTTTTTTTTTTTTT